TAAGGTGCAGGAAGCCATGGGACTTAAATTTACTAAGAAGGTAAAATACCTAGGGATTTGACTGACAAACAAATGCTATAATATTAAAGAGACCAATTACTTTAAATTATTGGCTGATACAGTAGAGGACCTAGATAGATGGAAGAATATACAGCTTTCACTTCTGGGCAGGGTGGCCGCAATCAAAGCCCATATTATCCCACGGTGGATTTTTCTATTTCAAACGGCTCCTGTAAATTTGGAAAAAAAATTCTTTAGGAAATTGGATCAGGCAATAAGCAAATTTATTTGGCAAGGGAAAAAAATCACGAATTAAAAGAAAAATGCTACCGGAGCACAAAACAAGGGGGGGCTTGCGGCTCCCAAATTGGGAGCTATATTACCAAGCCTTGTCCCTTCTTTGGATAAGAGACTGGGTATCCCTTGCGAGAAAACGCATATTAATGGTTGAGGGATTTGATCTTCACCAAGGCTGGCATTCAGCTTTGTGGGCACAACAAGGAAAACAATCTAAATATTTTACTAACCACTATATTAGAAGAATTTTAATAAAAGTATGGGAAAAGGTGAAGAAACAAACTTATACCCAAGTTCCTAAATGGGTTGTCTCATTGGAGATGGTACACAAAGTCAAAGAATTGTCAAGTCCAGTCCGTATTAAATCCAATTGTTTGACATTATTTCTACTGTTTCTATCTTTTGAATAAGTGTCTTCGTTATCCATACCATGTCTATTCTGGACCAGGACTTGTGACGATTGGAATAATGTGTAAATTTCTTTACCTTGTGGTTGCAGAATTTCCAACTGTCTATTAAATTTAATTCTTCTACTAGGTCCGTAAAAGTTCTAGGAAGTACATTTTTCTTTTCTTTTCTTTTCTTTTCTTTCTTTTCTTTTTTTTTGTTATTCTGATCACTGCTATAATCCTTTTTTACATCTACAACTGCGTTGAAATCACCAATTAAACATATATTCTCTGTTTTTTCTTCTATTATCTTTTCATGTACTTTTAAATAAAATTCTAGCTGTCCACTATTCGGCGCATTGATGACCGCCAATAAAATATTTTTATGTTCTAATTTTACCTCTATCATCAATATTCTTCCTGCTGAATTTACATATCTCAAATTACCCTCTATTCCTTCTCTAATGTACACCACTATTCCTCTTTTCTTTTCTTCCGCTAATGCTACAAATGATTCCCCTAATTTTTTACACTGTAAGTATTTTTCATCCTGTTTCCTTATGTGCACCTCTTGGAGGCACACTATATCCATTTTTTGTTTTGCCACTTTTCTAAAAATTTGATGTTGTTTAGCCGGAGAGTTAAGACCATTTACATTTAATGATATAATTTTTAAATTTTGTTCCATTCCTTTGTGGTTCTACTACGCGCTATTTCCTATTACTTCCTGTCCCTTCTCTTCGTTCTTGTTCTCACTCGTTCTTCTTCTTGAAGTTCCCCTTCTTCCTCTTTAGCTCCCTCCTCTAGTACCTTTTCCTGCTCTTCCTGTCTTTGGGCCCCTTTAGTCCTGTGTTACGGTTCCTCCCTGTTACTATTTACTCCTTCTATACCCATCACTTGGTCGTGAAGGTTCTGTGCTTTGCTTTGTGAGTCCACTTTAATTTTTTTCCCTTGCCATGACACCAACATTCCCTCCGGTGTTATCCATCTAAATGGTATGTGCTGCTTATTTAATAATGTGGCTAGGAACCAGTATTCCTTTCTCAGTTCTCTTATTCTCTTAGGGACATGCTTTAATGTGATTATTTCCTTGCCTCCATAAAACATGGGTTCATTTTTCGTTATTTTATAAACAATGTCTCTTACTTTTCTTCACACAAATCTTACATGGACCTCCTTTGGTAGTTTATATTGTCTGGCGTAGTTCGTGTGGACCCTATAGACCTCGTCCAGCTCATTTATTATTTCATCCTTATCTCGCTGGAGGGCCTCCACAATCACTTCCGCCATCACAAATGTCAAGTCCTCCTCTCTATCTTCGACAATGTTCTGAAATCGCAGATAGAATGAAGCTCTCTTCATCTTCAGGTGGGTCACGGTGTTTTCCAGTTCTTTATTTAGTCCTATCATTTTCTGGTCCAATGAGTCCAATTTTCCTTCTGTCTCTTCTGTTCTTTTCTCTATGAGAAAAGAATCATTTTTTTTGTATGATTTCTTGTATTGAACCCATCTTTTCATCTAATTTTTGAATATCGCTTTTGACTTTCCTCTTGATCTCATCCATATCCCTCCTCGTTTCTTCATGATTCTGTTATACATTCCTGCAGTTTTGCTATAGTCTCTTGAATTGCTGAGAGGGTAGCCTGCATAGTTTGCATATTCGAAGTGTGGGGTTGTTTTTCTGATGGGAACATTCCTTCTATTGTTCTCTGGGCTGCAGGAGAAGCTGATGGCCCAGTCAATGTCGAAGTAGTTTTCTTTCCCGCCTTCACAATGGTTGTGGTGGTGCTGGTCATTTCCTTTATTATTCTATAGTGTTCCCCTAAAATCCTATCTATCTTTTCCCAAATCACCATCCCCTTCACTATTCAACTTCCTTTCTTTCTTTTCCTTATCCCTTACTATCAGATTATAAACTAGTCCATTACAATTCACAATGCACAATGCATCATATCCCAAAAAGCTTATCTATATAATATAATTCCTAACTTAATTAATAAAATTCTATTCAAAAGAGAAATTCATTAATACCTTAATTAATATCTAATTACTAAAATTATTCCACTTTTAGGTTAAACCCAACAAATAAGCAGATATACAAATATTAATTTAATCAATTAAGCTCTAATATTAACTTTAAATATTTGTTTTAAATAATAAATGAACAAGTCAAAAGGAAAGGTAAAGAAAAAGAGCAGGACAAAATAAAAAAAGAAGAGAAAAGGTAAAAAGACAATAAATTTACCAATAATTAGTAATAATTTGCTATTAATTAATTATAAATGTAAAAATTTAAATTCTATTTGTTACTATATAAATAAATATATCAGCATTTAAGTTATATATAAATGTAGATAGTACTTTCAGTTCTTGTAGGTTTTAAAAATTCAAATATAATCTTTCCTTTGAAATTTTAGTCCTTCACTCAAAAGTGACCATCAGCTGGTCCTTGCCTTCAAGATGGCGATCTCCAATCTGCACTGTCACTCTCATGCACCCTTTACTTTTTGCCAATCCACACTTCTTTCGTTAGAGTAGCAAATGTAGACAGAACCTCGTATTCAGATTCGCTTCTCTTTCCCAGCTTCCTGGAACACTCACTTTCCTTCCAATCGTCTCCTTTTCCACTCCCCTGGTGTTCTTCTGCTGGTCTGAAATTCGCCCTCTTTCCATTTTGCTCTCCACACTATCTGCCGCCCGTTCACACTCAGAGTGTTTCTTTCCTCTCCGCTGCCCCTCTGGACTCCTCCTCTCCAATAGTCCAAAAACTGGAAACTTCTATTTCCTGCTCTCACCGCTGAATCTCGCACCGTACTCACTTTCCACCTCCTATTGCTCTAAACCAGGACGTCAAGCCTCTGGGTCAGCCATGTCGGCTGCCTTCTTCTGTGTCTGGATTGAGGGTCCTTCTTGGTGTGGTGGGAGACTGCACCTCTCCACACCTCCTCTGAAGATCTCCTCCTTCTTGCTGGTCCCATCAGAACCGATCCTTACCCCTAAGGGCCACCAAAACACCAGAAAATTGGTACTGGGAACAGAGTGATTTTCCCCCGTGCTGCCTTGACCCCACGTCACCGCCAGAAGTCGACTGTTTCTTTCAACTAATAACAGACCACGAGCCTCTCTTGGGTCTGTTGGCAGGTGACCAGCAAACCTCTCAAATTATCTCCCCTTGCATGTCCAGATGGTCTGTATTCCTGGCTGCATACAATTATCAACTAGTCTATCACCCTGGGAAGGAACTAAGTAACGCCAATGGCCTCAGCCTTTGCCCGCTCCAGGTCGCAGTCCAAGACCCAAGCTCCAGCGATGTCTGTCTTATTGATTGATGAATTCAAAGCCCTGTAACAGTGGCAGACATCGCGAAATACTCAAGCAGAGACCATATACTTGCACAAGTACTGGACTGGATGTGCAGGGGGTAGTCGCAAGGACATCTACCAGCAGTGTTCCCACCCTACAAGACGAGATAGCATGAACTGTCCATTTTGAAGGGCTGCTTATTGTGGGGTAGTAATGTAGTGGTTCCTCCTAAATTACAAATGCCGATATTACGAAGCCTGCATGAGGGACATCCTGGCATAATCAGGATAAAGGCATTAGGTCGCAGCTATGTGTGGTGGCCAAAATTGGACCAGGCAATCTCTGACTGGGTTGTGGAATGCCAGCGCTTTCAACAGTCCCTCCCAACAGCACCAGAAGTCCTCAAATTCATATAGACTTTGCTGGGCAATTCCAGAGACAGACCTTTTTGATAGTGGTTGATGCATACTTCAAATAGGTAGAAATAGCCCTCATGGCACCAACCACTTCCAAAGCCGTAATTAGGGTCCTACAAAAATTGTTTGCCACCTATGGCCTGCCTGACTTATTGGTTTTGGATAATGGCCCGCAATTAACCTCGGCCACGTTCCAGATGTTCCTTGTTGAGCATGGCATTCATCATGCCCAGGTGGCCTCTTTTCACCCTGCCAGTAATGGTATGGGAGAATGAGCAGTCCGGTCTGCTAAGGACATTCTGGCTAGACTTGGCCCGGGGAACTGGCAGGAGAAAATCGCAAAATACCTCCTAGCACAGCATACAACCCCATACCCGGCGACCAACTGCAGCCCTGCCAAGTTACTCATGGGCTGACAACTCAGGACCACCCTGGACAGGTTGCACCCAAGCTACGCAACTGGCACCCCCCTGGACTCGACCAGCTGAGTCAGAACTTTTAAAATGGAAGACCAAGTGTACGCCTGGAACTTTGGAGGTGAACCTCAGTGGCTGCTGGGACAAATAACCCTAGTAACTGGACCTTGTTCTTATAGGGTCGAGCTTGAAGATGGAAGAAATTGGCTTTACCACATTGATCAACTCCGAGGGCGAGCATTCATCTCTGCCTCTCGGCTGGAAGGGGCCTTACCAGAACTAATTGCTGAGGCAGCCTCCTCAGACAGTCCCCAACCAATCAACGTCCCAAACGCTCCTTCCTGTACAACGTTCCCATCAGGCTCATCTGAAGAAATGAGCCTTCTTCCGTCTGTGGAGCCACCAATTGAAATTTCAGCAAAGTCTCCAGGAGCTCCAGCGGCTCAGGAGCAGCCTCCTCCTCCAGGTAAAGTCACTCCTGAACTGCATTGATCTGGGAGGAGTGCAGGCATCCAGCGTATCTACAAGATTATGCATGTGCCATGCAGGAGGGGAGGAATGTTGCGTCCGCAAGCCACACCGTTGGTAGGCATGATGCAGAAGCACCTCCCATTGGCTAAGACATGACAGCTCAGCCAGCCGGAGAATAAACATGCACCATTGGTTAAACCATTTGACAGCTGCTATATAAATAGCGGCTTGACAGAAAATTGTTGTTGCCGGTTCTGCATTACTTGTTGCATGTTAGCTGTTACCCTATTAAAAGGGAATTACCTTGAAAACTGCCTCGTCTCAGTTTCTAGCACCTTTGTTTTCCCGAATAGAACACTTATACCAGAGATATACCAGAGTGGTATCACATTTAAGATGTTGAACCAGGAATAGGTAAGACTGGATCCTTGTCCACCTTCATCCATAAATGCTGATTATTTGATTTTGGGAACACTCACTTTTAGCTCAACATATTCCAATATTTATATCTCACCTTTATTATTTTTTTTATAAAAAACTCAAGGTAGTGAACATATCTAATTATTCCTTTCTTCTCCTATTTTCCTCACAACAACAACAACCCTGTGAGGACAGTTGGGCTGAGAGAGAGTGATTTGTCCAGCCCAAGGTCATCCAGACTTTCATGGCTAAGGCATGATTAGAACTCATGGTCTCCCGCTTTCTTGCCTGATTCTTAACCACTAGATCAAACTAGGGCTGTAGTGGGATAAAATAGGAGAAGGGAGCACTTTGTGTGCTAATTTGAGCTCCTGAACGTAAGGTCACATAATACATTTTGTAATGCCAATAAACCAGGTAGGTGGTTGGCCTACATGTTGAGGAAAAAACAGAAATCACGAGTCATTAGTAAGATAGAATATAGAGGTAAGGAAGTTTACCAACAGAATATGATTAAAAAGGCTTTTTTGGAATTTTATAGAAAGTTATATGCTAGTGACTCAATACAAGGTATAGATATAGATAGATATTTAAAGGAAGGGAATATTTTGGAATTAATGTTGGAACAGAGGGAAGGATTGAATCAACCAATAATTTCTGAGGAGATCATTGCGGCAATTAAGCAGTTAAAAACAGGGAAAGCTCCGGGAACAGATGGATTAACAGCTGTTTATTATAAGAATTTACAACTTGAAATGGTAGAGCCGCTTAGAGTTCTATTTTGTAAAATTCAATTAGGGGGAGGAGTTCCACCCTCTTGGAGAACAGCCTTTGTTTCACTGATTCCGAAGGAAGATCAAAACTGTATCAAACCTGAAAACTTTAGGCCTATTTCACTTTTGAACACGGATTATAAAATTTTTGCTAAGATATTAGCGAATAGATTAATGCCAGTTATGCAACAAGTTATTCACAATGACCAATCAGGTTTTATAAAAGGGAGGCAGATGAAATATAATGTTAGACAAATTATAAACTTATTGGAATATTTGGAAAAAAATAACCAGGTCCCTGCAGCGTTCCTATTCTTGGATGCAGAGAAAGCATTTGATCGATTGAACTGGCAATTCCTGTTTAAAATAATAGAAAAAATGCACTTTGGGGAGTATTTCATACATTCAATTAGAGCAATATATCAGGAACAAAGAGCACAAATAATAATTAATGGAGGTTTAACAGATGTGTTTAAAATTGAGAAAGGTACGAGGCAGGGTTGTCCCTTGTCGCCATTGTTGTTTATTTTAACTTTAGAAGTTTTGTTGAATAAGTTACGTGATTCTGATAAAATAAAAGGAATTGTAATTAGACAGCAGGATTATAGACTAAGAGCGTTTGCAGATGACCTGGTTTTTACTTTATCTCAACCTATAGAAGCAGCTCCCTGTATGTTGGACATAGTAGCTCAATATGGCAAAGTATCTGGATTTAAAGTAAATCTTCACAAGACAAAGATGATAACTAAAAATATCTCCAAAACTCAAAGAGAAGATTTAGGGAGAATAACGGGGTTTGAAGTAGTTAAAAAGGTTAAGTATCTAGGAGTATACATTGCAGCCTCAAACACGAAATTGTTTAAAAATAATTATGAAATTCTTTGGCAAAAAGTACAGAAAGAAATAGAAAATTGGAAAAAGTTACAATTATCACTACTGGGAAGGATAGCAGCAATAAAAATGAATGTACTACCTAGGTTTTTATTTTTGTTCCAAATGATACCAGTGCTTTAAAAAGATGGAAATCTGATGGAATGGCAGAAAGGGGTTAATACTTTCACTTGGGCTGGGAAGAAACCAAGAGTGAAACTGAAAATTATACAGGATATACGTGAGAGAGGAGGTCTTAAAATGCCTAACTTAAGATTGTATTATGAAGCAGCAGCTTTATCACAAATTAGTGATTGGTTTAACTTAACTGAAGAAAGAATGTTAAACATAGAAGGTTATGATTTGTTATATGGATGGCATGCTTATTTGTTATATGAAAAAAAGTGGATAAGATGTTTAAGGGTCATATACTCAGAAATGCATTGTTGAGGGTTTGGAAAAAGCACCAATACAAGCTGAACTATAAGATACCTATATGGGCAAATCCCAGACATGCAATAGAAAATATAAGTATAGAGCAAAAAATAGAGGTGATTACTTATAAACAGCTTCTTCTTTTGGACAGGAGTAAGTTGCAACTGAAATCCTTAGATGAATTAAAAGAAGAAGGGATAATTTATACTTGGTTTCAGTATGGTCAGCTTCAAGCTAGATGGAGGAAGGATCAAAAAATTGGTGTTATGCAAAATGAGGAAAATCTGGTGAAACAGATTAGAGATCAAAGTCAGATGCATATTAAAAGGTTGTATAATGCATTATTGGAAATAGATTCAGAAACGGAATTGGTTAAGGATTCTATGATAAAATGGGCACAAAACTTTCAGGAACCAGTGATGATGGAAACGTGGGAAAAGATTTGGGTCAGAAATGTTAAATTTACGCAAGCACAAAATTTGAGAGAGAATTTTTATAAAATGTTTTATAGATGGCACTTAGATCCTAAAAAATTATCATGTATGTATCCTAATTTGCAAGCTAAATGTTGGAGATGTGAATGTAATGATGCAACCTATTATCATATATGGTGGACCTGTAAGAAAATTAAGGCATTTTGGATAAAAATTTGGTGGGTGATGCAGAACATTCTGAAAAGAAGGTTGAAATTTACTCCTCAATTGTTTCTATTGGGTATAACTATGGACTGCACAGTATCAGAGACTAAATTGATTTTGAACTTAATCTCAGCAGCTAGGCTGTTGGTAGCTCAATATTGGAAGAAGGACTCTTTGCCTACTATTGAAGAGTGGATATTGAAAGTAACAAACCTAGCAGAAATGGCGAAAATCTCAGCGTACTTGAAGGACCACACACAAGAAAGATACGTATCGAAATGGAGAAGATGGATTGATTATATTCAAAATAAGTATCAGACAAGAAAATATCAAATAGCTTATGAATGAATGTTAGTATTAGAAGTATTAGGTTATCTATAGTGGAGTTAAGGTTTCAGGGGGGGAGTTAGTACTTTGAGGATAAGTAGATTAATCTAGTTTATGATTGATTAAATGAAATACCTTGTATTTTGCTCTGGGAAGTCTGGGGGGGAGGGGGGATGAGGGGGGGAAAGGGTGGGGGGAACATGGGGGGGGAGAAAATTTTTGTATTTTTTTTGTAAAACTTTTCAATAAAAAAAAAGAAATTTGCATTCGTTAAAGATCAGAGAGATAAGATTGGTTCTTTTGTATTGCACCCGATTGGTTTGCCAGAAGTGCTAGAGCAGAAACAACTAGACAAAAGGCAAAAGCAGCAAGATGATGAGAGACAAAGGCTCGCTGAATATAATCAGAGAAGTATTCCAGAGATTTTGATACTGATAAATGAAGTAATTATTTCTTATGATGAAAATGAAGAACAGACGACTGATGATGAAAAGGAAGCAGAATGTGATGGAAGTTATGAAGAGTCCTTAGACCAGTGGTGAAATGTAAAATTTGTTACTACCGATTCTGTGGGCATGACTAGGTGGTGGGGTAACTTGACTGGGTGGGCATGGCCAACTTTTTAAAAAAACTTTTAAAAGCATTTTTTCTACAACCTCTTTGAGGTTGTAAAAAAATGCTTTTAAAAGGCTCTGACAATCAGGCAACTCAGCTGGGATCATCAGAGCCTTTTAAAAGCATTTTTTTAACAACCTCGGCCAAAGAGGTTGTACAAAATGCTTTTAAAAGGCTCTGACGATCCTAGCTGAGTTGCCTGATTGTCAGAGCCTTTGGTAGAAAAAATGCTTTTAAAAAGCTCTGACGGGCTTCCTGTCTGGTTTCCGGTGCCGCCAGACGGTCCTCTGCGACCGCCCCCCCGTTGCCTGTAAAAGAGCCGCCTTTACATCTGAAAGGCGGCTCGAAAAACTCCATTTCCTGATGGAAATGTGAGTCTGAGCGGGTGGGGGTGGGTAGAGCCCTCTGCGAAGTCCCCAGAGTCTTTTTAAACTCTTGGGGACGAGCAGGTTGGCGCTCCCCCTTTTTCCCTCGCCGCCGCTCCAGGCATCGGGTGCACTATGCACTTTTGCATAGCCAGGCGCTGGAACCGGACTAATCAATGAACTTAACAGATGGATCTACTAAAAAAAAAAAATATGAGATTTGGATTTGGATTTGGGACTCTAAACCGCAAGTATTCTTAATGAATTTACAAGCATTTTAAAGTGAAGAGAAGGAAAAAAAAAAGTTTTAAAATGGCCGCGGAGGCTTGGAAAGTAGAAGAAAGAAGAGTCTTTTTATAACAGATACAAAGTTGCGGAATATACAGCGCTGGCTACAATTTGAAACAACAATAGTTATTTTAGGTTCCTCTCTTCCTGGTGATTACTTGATCTTGTTTGGGGGGTAAAAGAGAAAAGTCTGCTGGAAGGATGGCGTTAATAAAAGCTGACAGACAAGAAAGGGGGGGGTGCTCCCCCACTCTCTGAGCCTACAGACCCTGCAGAATGGTTGTAATTTAAAAGAATTTATTCAGGAGGAAATGGCAAAATATTATGAAACTGTGAATCAGAAATTTGAAAATTTAAGGCAGGAAATTAAAGAAATGATACAACTAAAGTATGATAATTTGCAACAAAAGATTGTAACAGTGACTAATGGTTTTTCAGAAATTGCGATAAAGTTGGATACAAATATTAAATTGCTAGAGTCTAAAATGGAGAAAATTGATAACTTGGACAATAAAATATTAAGAATTGAAAAGGACTTAGCAAATATTCGAGATAATAGCTTAGAAGTAAAGTCTAAAGA